TGTGAAGTTCATTTTACTAATGTGCAATTTCATAAATACATTTTCATTTAAGGACTTGACACCAAGGACTCCCTAAATCTCCGTTTACTGCTTAAAATGCCTTGGAACAAGTTCAGAGAGATGAGAACGTTTCTCAATATTCATGGAATAAGCATCTTCGAAAGTGAGGGTCATATGCGCGAGGAAATGAATGGTAAGTTATAACAATCTATTTTTCCCTTTTTTATAAAAAATAATGCAAAAAACTATTTTTTTTTTTTTTTTTTTACAATTTACGAACATTTCTCCTATTAATATTATATATATGTGTCCAGTTCCTTTGCCAACAGCGCAGCCTTTTTGAGTTAGAAATGAAAACTAATAACTGCTAAGGTGTAAAACGGTGAAGGGATGGAATGGGAAGGAGCTGAATTGATTTGCAATGACTGAATGCAATTTCATTACTTTAACAGAAAGGGTAGATGCCACAGCAGATGATTTGGAAGTTGGGATCACTGAACTTCAGAAGAGTGCTCAGTGCAAACAGCTGACATGTGTTACCTTTGTTCGGGTGAAGACGATAATAAACACCATCTACCACCAGTATCAGATGAATGCCCATCGTAATAACATTTGCCATCAAGACTCTTACAACAACAAAATATGGGTTAAAATTGGGGTAAGCCAAATGATGATATGTTAATATAGTAACAGCCGGAATTCTATACCACATGTGTAACAAAAATTAAGAACATACTGTTAACATTTATTAGTATAAAATTAATGATGGCAATTGAACTGAGTGGAGTGCAATTTGGTCTGAAATCAAACGCGCAATTACRAAATCGCACGACCGCGTAGCGGGAGTGCGATTTGTAATTGCAAGTTTGATTTCAGACCAAAATTGCACGACACGAAGTTCAATTACCACTTWATYATATCCTTTTTGTAATCATACACAAGAAAAAGACACAATAAAGAGTGCAGAATAATCAATTCAATGTAGTAGAAGAACTAAATGCGAACAAAAAAAAACATCTAAAAAAATTTATTTTGATTTTTTGGTTTTAGTTTGTTTTATTTTATTGTTTTTTAAAAAAATTATTTTTTTAGGATGCGATTAAGTGCTCCTAAGGATGCGATTTGGGAATTAATCACACTCHTTTGAACCAATCAGATTGCAGGATTTGGTAGTGATTACAAAAAGGATATGATTAAGCCAAAAATGGCATCCTTATGAGATTGAAAAATCTAATTTCTGAGAAAAAACAAACATGATGATGATGGTAATGATGATTGTTGCTTTGCAGGGTGACAAAGGTGGAGCCTCAACAAAACTGGCATTGCAGTTAGCCAATGTCAGAAAATGCAATGCTGCAGAGGACACAGTTATCCTTAGTTTCTTTGAAGCAGGAGATACAAGAACGAATATGGAGAAAGTATTCAGTTACTACACAGAACAGGTGACAAATACAATTTAATTTATTCCTAATTTTTAATCAATTTTACTTTGTTCTCTCTCTCTCTCTTGCTATATTCAACTTCTCAATCTCAAAGTAGATCTGGATAGTGGCTTTATGAATAATCATCATCATCATCATCATTATACTAATTATAAAAATTGTTAGTTCCTAGCACAATCTAAAAATATGATTGACTTGGTACAATTTCATGATCCTTTGTTGCTTATTGTTTTTTTAAAAGGTTCATGAGCTTGATGGGCAAGAAGTTGCCATTCCAGGTCTGGACAATTCTGCTGTCAGTTTAGAAACCATAATATTCCTATTTGGAGATTATGAGTTTCTATGCAAGGTACTCGGACACCAGGGGGCGTCAAGTACTTTCTTCTGCATTTGGTGCTTATGCAAGCTGGCAGATCTTGTGAAAGGTGAAGCACACACACCAAAGAAAAGCATTGGTCCTGGATTGTATGCAGATTGTAAAGTCTTTGCATCAAGAACTGTAGAAAAGTGCAAGGATGACCACCAGGCATTTGTAGATGAACAGCTCAGCAATCCCAATGCAAAAGGAAAAGACCACCACAGCATAACTAACAGCATGCTTTTCCCAGTAAAATCTCTCTTGCAGATAGTACCCTTGCCATTGCACATAAGCCTTGGCTTAATGCAAAAGTTTTACGAGCACCAAAGAAAGGAATGCCAGAAACTAGACAGGGAGTTTGTATGTATCAGCTCCCCTGATGTTTTTAGTGACTGGGAATTAGCAACAATGAAGGAATTGGAGGTGCAACAAACACTGGATTCCATCAAGAAAGAGTTTGACCTTTACCAAGCCATAATCAAGAATCTAAGTGCCACACCAGGTCGGCAGAGAAGGAGACAGCAGGACAAAGAAGAAAAACCATGTGCAGCAAAGGTATGCAAGATGTCAACGAATGCCACAAAGGAAGTATTCCAAGTGGTATGCCACATTTGTGGAAAATGGTACCATCAGACCTGTCTTGGTATTGATGGGGAAGAGGAAACCAACTGGAAATCTTTTAAATGCAAATCTTGTGGGGGATCCTTTTCCAGTCGTCTTCTAAAAGTACAACAGGAGCGCTTTAATATGTTGAGGTAATTTTTGAAATTAAATTCCACACATTCAACAAATGGGGGTTTATAATGGTTGTATAAAGTTTATCATTATAAACCCCCCTCCCCTCCATCCCCCCCAAAAAAACCCTGCTCATTTTTATTTAGACCCCTTGCAGGACATTCCCAATGCAGATCAATCCAGAGGAAAAACAATGAAATTCTTCTTGCATACTATTAGAAATTCATTTGTTCTCTTAATTCCTTAATTTGTGAGCTTAATTCCTCTGAATTAAGCCAGCCCTGGGAATTAATGCAAGGTGTATATTGAAAACAAACAAGCATACCAAAACCCACACCCCCACATGCACGGCTACACAGAAAAAAGTCAGGCATGTATGAATAACATTTCAAGATAATTTTATGTTCTTTAAAAAAATGGAAGATTACATTATGTATGATATTTTTGATGTGAATAATATATTCAGTACGCAGATTGAACTTCTAAAGTTGAAGCTAAAGGAGGCAAAAGCCAAAACAAAGACCAGTCATGAAGTGCTCAATAAGACAAAAGGCCCCCTGGAAAAAGAGTTGGAGAGAGTGCTACAAGAAGAACTAGGAGTGCACCTCCAGGCATTCCATTCCCATGCATTTGTTGGAAACCATGTTGCCAAAATTCTTTTGCAAGATGCCAGCCAAAATGTTGACAACCCTGCAAAGCTAGCTGATGTCTTCACCAACCTTGCCAACAATCAGTTCCCTAATTTGAGAGATCAGTATTATGTGCTGTACACACACTTCAGTAAAATCTACAGTCTCCTTAATGTGCCACGGTTTCTAACAAATGCAGAGGTGTCAGAACTATGCCAAAGATGTTGGGAATTGGGAGAGTGGTACCCTCAAGAGTTCAAAGAAGAGTCCATCACACCAAAGTTACACATATTAACTTACAGTACCATGTTCCTGAATTTGTGCAGAAGTGGAAAACTGTGGGTCTGCTAGGGGAGCAAGGAGCTGAATCACTACACAAAAACATGAATGCCATAGACCGCCAGTTCTCATCAGTGAGAAATAACATGGACAATGCAAGAATGAAGTGGAGGGAGCACCAAGCCACCTTGACTACTGTCCCACTTGATTCCAAGAAAAATGAGAGGATATGTAAGAAAAACAAAAATGGCCAGCCATGTAAAGGGTTTTTAAAGACATCAAGAGAGGGAGTAAAATGCTGTAAAAAGTGTGGAGAACCGGCTAGCTGAATAACTTTAATATACAGTCACTGTCATTAGCGTTGTCCACCGAAAAAAGACATTTACACATTTAGACATTTAGACTAAAGTGAGCCTGAACTTTAAATGTAAAATTCAACTCGTGAATCGAAAATCCAGAATGCCCTGACCATTTAGTGAGGATTTAAGATGGAAAATTGTATTTCAGCGTTTGTTTTATGACAAAACGTTCGAGGAAACATGTGATATTCTTTTAGTTTAAATGTGTAAATGTCTAAATGTGTACTCCGACGAAGCTGGACTGGCGTCCGAAACGTCAGTAAGTTTTTTCATCTTTTCACGGTGTATAATTTACCTTTTCATCATTAAATGTGTAAATGTCTTTTTTCGGTGGACAACGTTAATGA